AGTTGTGGCACCTTGGTGACAGTAACCCAACACTGTCAATCATGCAAGAAAAATTTCAAATGGAGGAGACAGCCATTTATACTCGGGAGATATCCAGCTGGAAATGTTCTTCTCAGTTCTGCTGTCTTGATGGCTGGTGCCTCCATTAGTAAAGTATTCCTTGTTTTTAAACACATGGGGCTAAGTGTGTATGAATCAAGAACATTCTTTTACCACTAAAGTAGATTTCTCTTTCCAGTTACTTTGAAGTACTGGGAAACCTATCAGGCCTCGTTGGTTACAAAGATAAAGGGCAAGAAAGATGCAGTCTGGTCAGGGGATGGGAGGTGTGACTCAATGGGCCATTCAACCAAATTTGGTGCATACACACTTCTATGCTCACCTATAATGAAGATTGTGCACTTCGAGTTACTACAGGTAATTGTGGTTTCTGCCATAAATGTTAGTAAATGGAAACAAATTTTTCAAATCTAGGAATAAGCATGTGCATCAGACAATGAAATTTTGTGCATCTTGCTTGCAGGCCAACCAGACAGGTAGCAGTAATGCTATGGAACTAGACGGTGCCAAGCTCTGTTTTGATTATTTACACAGGGTTGCAGGGCTGACAGTCAAAGTTTTTGTTTCCGACCGTCACAGGGGAATAGCCAAATGGATCAGAGAATGTCAACCTTCAGTGACTCATTTCTTCGACCACTGGCACGTAGCAAAAGGGTTAGTTAAGAAACTTCTGGCTGCCAGCAAACAAAAAGGTTACGGAGTGATTGCACAATGGGTGAAGGCTGTAAAAAATCACACCTTTTAGTGTTCCACCTTAACAAAATCTGGTTTGCAAGATTTAATTTTGGCCAAGTGGAAATCTTTCATGCGGCATGTGTCAAACAAACATACCAATCACCCTGACAAGCTTTTTGAACAATGTGCACATGATGATATTAAGCCTAGGAAATGGATCAAAGTAGGGAGGTGAACGAAAGGATAGTTATCTCTTTAAATGGCAAGATAATAGAAATGTAATGCCCTTTTCTAAATACACATGTGAATAAACCATATTTTCCTGACATCTTGGATAAAATATCTGTTTTAAAATCTAGAAGTAGAGTACAATTCCTTAAGTGACTAATTTCAAACAATGCAATTTTAATTACTGTTTAAAAAAATCTGTTATTTCTTATCTCTCATCTTAAACATATTTTTGTAGTTGTAACTTTTCAATCACTTTTTTTCCTTAGGCACAAAGGCATATGAAAAGATGCAGGAAATTCTCATGAAAACAAGCGTACTAAATGATATCAAAAGGCTGTCCCCAGAGGCAGAAACCAGCTGCCTGGAAGGATTCCACTCCACCTTAAAATCAGTGGCATCCCAAGATGACATGTTTTTCATGGCTTGGAACATTTTGCAGGTATAATGGTAGACTACAGTATGTATGCAAATATATCTATTCCATGTGCTAATATATATATATATATATATATATTATTTAAGTTAAAACCCTCTGCTGCTTTCGTTTCTTATTTACAGACATGTCTTGGCAAGCCTGTATTTCAACGAAAATATTAGGAGACACCCAAAGCAAACAAAGGATGGGAAAACATACATGCATGTAACTTTCCCTAAATTCAAAATGGGTGAAGAAGTTGTGAGAGAAATTGCAGAGTCCCCTTCATAATTTATGGTATGACTGAATGCTTATTATTATTACTATTATTATTATTGTTATTATTGTTATCTGTTATCAATTGTAGCCCTGAGAGTGAAAGGATTTTTTTTACTTCCATTTTTTGTTTCAAAATAGGCTATGTGGAGCAGATAAAGCAACTGCTGTTTGCTATGACAAAAACAAAATAGAGAAACTATGAGGGAAAAATACAAGACCAAGATCCCTGAGCCCCTAACCAATCAGTTCCCTGAGCGGTTATCCAAGGATACAGCTGTAAGGCGCCATAGAGTAAGAAAACAGCTATGAACCGAGCTGTTTCCCTCAGGTATAATATTTCTCAGCATTTGCATAAAAGAAAAAACATATAGACTTAGTGGGTGTTATGTCCAAAACTTACTTCTCAGGATATTATTATTTATAATTTTTATATGATGTGTTGTTCCAGGACATACCCTGCTTCATGACAGGTCTTTTGGTTAGAGTGCCCCGTCCAAAAAGAAAACCCTCCAGCAATCCCCGTTTAGTACTTCCTTCTTTCTTGTAGAATGTTTGGCTTTCTAAGCCCCGGCAGTTCCTAGACTTCCCAGGATTGACAACACAAAGTGAATCAAGAACTTCAGCTCCTAATTAAATCTAATTTGTACTTACAGAACCCGAACAGTTAAAATTGCAGCATCAGAGGCAAAAGGGGCCAGCTTCTGCACTGTTACATTTCCAAGAAAACGAATTCAAGTTGTGGTCTTCAACTTAGAATGAAATAATATTGAGAAAATAAGTCATGTTTTTTTATGAAGAGTGAGGTTCTTTTTCTGACCCTGCGAAATAAGGAAAAGTTTTCCTTTTGGAATTCTTTTTGAAGGTGCCCAGGATGTGCCCTTGATTTGTATGTAATTGTACTTTTTTTTTATTCAAACACAAATTCAAAACTTTGAAACTGCATTGGTCATGTGGGAAAAAATTCACCGTTCTCAGGAAGAGTCTAAAAGTCTCAGATTGTCACTTGAAGTCAGCAAACTGTGTTTTCTTTTTCCTGCCAAGTTTTTTTGAATCAAAGCTAATTCCATCACTTGAATGAGTTACTTGTTCATTTGTTTTTCGAATCGAGTATTTATTAGTGTGATCACTTTTCGTTTTGAGTTCCAAGAGGTCGATCTCAATCAGGATGGAACAGAAAAAGGATCTCAAAAGTTTTAAAACCTCGCTGCCAAACTATTTGGGAACTGAAGTGAAACTGCACGCTCCATCTTCTATTCACATGGCCTTGCGTTTACGTAATCAATAGCCTCCATGAGGCGCTAAAGTACACTCAAATATTTGTCCCCAGACATTTTCTGTTGCAAGATGCGAATGGTTGTCTGAGAGCAAAGCTCGAAAAGAACGGTGAGCTATAGCAAAATGAATAGTTTATGATATATCGCTGGTTTTATATCTTTATAGGATATGTTCTTTCCATTTGCTTTCTCGAGCTCTCAGTTGTGGTGATTCGTACTCAGTAAGTATTTCATGAAATAACTTTTTGATAAATAATTTTACTAGATGTCGGTTGAAAAGTTTAGTTACTTTTTGAGTGCAGTACACAACTATCAAGTTTACCTTATAGTCTTATAAATCTCTAACAGGTTAGAATTTTTAAAAAATGTTTTTAAGCAGTGTAGAATTTATAGGAGATAAAATAATATTCTAGAAAGCAATCGCGACTTTGCTGACTTTGCTTAACTGGAAACATTATGACTGAATCTCATAACAGATGGAAATGACTATGATCATTCCACATCAATTGTCTTAAAGTGTAAATCTACATAGGAATATTGCATGCAAACCCGCCAGATGAAGATATAACGTAACAATTTAGTATTTCTGTAGAATAGTTTTAAAAAAATGTGTAATTATTAAAACATTTGTTTATGACAGCCACTTAATTGACGGTACTTTCTATGTTTCATTACTATATAATTATACTATTATAGGCAATGTCACATCTGTCTGTATTATTTTAGTAATATAGTCAGGCAAATATTTAGATCTTCCCGATTAGTGTCTGCTATCTACAGTTTTATTAAAATGCCAAAAAAAAAAAAAAAAACTTTTCATGTTTGTGTTGATCTGTTTTGCCTGCTTTGTTTTTTTGCCGTTTCAGCTTCACAAACAAGAATATCACACAGCCATAAACGTTTCAAGGTGTTCACAGAAACGGTCATAAGCCGTGTAGTTTTGTTCGCGAAAACCGAAAAATCCAAAATAAACGAGTATGGTCCGAGTGCCATGTAATAAACAACTTATTAACCTCACTTGCCTGAACTGGGGTTGTTCTCGGTCATTTTTGCACGGAACTCGCGCACTTGATGGGTAACTGTCAAATTTAGCACTGTTGGGAGCTTTTTCTTTCTCTTAAGTTCCTTTGATATGATGAAGAATTCCCCTCTTGTAAACAAGAGGAAGGTCAAACATTAAATGTCATGCTGGCAACCTCAAACACGTGACATTTATCCATACACAGGAAAAATCATTTCAATGAAGGGCAACCAAACAGATTGTATGCCTGAAAATGTGTGGCAGAAAATTGTAGAACAAACTTTTTAAGCAATTTATTTGCACTAAGTATTTAAGTCAGGAAAACTAATTTAATTTTAGTGAAGAACAGGTATTGAATACTCACATAGTTACCACAAAACATGATACATTTAACTGTGTATAAAAGATCCTCAATTTTTTTTACACAATACTATACACTATTCTATACTTATAATTCATAACTATTCATTACCTCATCTCATGGAGAAACAATTTGGCTTCCTTCATGTGCCATTACAGACAAGAATAATTATAGCTTTTTAATGCAGCTATACAAAACTTGAAATTGAAGGCATGTACCTGTAATTACTTGAAAAGTAAACCTGTCCATTTTGTCTTCCAGAGGATTAGGGTAATAACATGTCGAACCTGTAAATTATCCTATGCAATTGAAAGCCACTTTGTGTGATTAGCTTTATAGTTCTCTTAAAGTGGTCATTATAAACGAGTGCATTTCTTCTCTACTACCCTTTCCCAATGACTAGAAGACAATGCATTTCGAAAGCTGTGCTAGCTGTTAATGCATGCGTGTTCATGGGTACATTTTTACTAGTGACATCATTTTTGAAAAATTTCACTAAAATATACAACAAGGAGAGTTTCTTTGAATTCTCGTCTGTTGTTGAAAATCCTCATTAACCTCCAACAAATATCGTGCCTTTCAGATATCAATGTTTCATCTAAACTGTTCTGATCAGATGCACAACTATCAGTAATTGTTCATATGTCATACATGACAAAGACAGAATTCATCATGGGAATTTTACTACGTGTTATATCTTGGACTTAAATACACTTTCCTTCTCAGCAAACAGACTTGACAGGGTATTTGCTTCAGGCCTCCTTTGCTATAAAATTGAGCGACACGGTCATTGACCCTCAACATCATATCCATGAGATGCTCTCTTTCTGCATACTCTTTGAAAATTGCCACAACTGTTGAAATGAACCAAAAACCAAGGTCATACTGCCTGTAGCTTTGGTGACCAGGGGCCGAGGCAAAGCAGATCAGAAAATCAGTGTCAGCTGGCAGAGACGAGCTTGCATATGGAACAGGCTCACTGTCGCTCTCAATAGGTACCCTATCCTGTTGAGTGCCACGGCAAGCTTGGATCAAAAATATCTTTGGTTTCCCTTCAAGAGATGGACATGCGTCACGGCGAAAATAGGAAGTGATTCCTTCAATTTTAATCACCTCCTCATCAGTTCCATAAATTCCATCTTTAAGACCATGGCTGAGAATTATGCATAGAAAACAATCATATCTGCTGAAGTCTTTCGCTGCAGTTTCATTGAGTATATCCACCATTTGACTTTGAGTAAAGTTCTCCACCATTCGGCTTTTGAAGTTGAAATCATCAAAGAGACTAAGGAGATTTTTCACATCTTGCTCTGACCCATGGCGTGCAGAATCTTGCCTCTTAGGGAAGATGAAGTTATGAATTACTAACACATAACCAGACTTCACCTTGTAATCAATATCATCCCCAGACTCTTGAGAAGGTGCATGAGCTGGAAAAAAAAGTGAAATGAATAATTGAAATAAATAAGTGAATTCAAATGACTAAGTTTCTGTTTGGAATAAAGACTAGCAGAGAGTGTGAACACATGAGACAAATTAAAAGCTATGAGCTTACTTTTTATAACATTCAACTCCCAGAAGTGATCAACATGTAACTTCTCCTTATAACACCCATACATTATCCAGCAAACAGGTAATGAGAATACTCTGACTTATGTGGTGAAAACAGTTAGTTGTGACTAATTTACAAGAAAATGTTTAGCAGTTAGAGGAGAGAATTAAAAATCAGACCTTGGTAGTTTAAAACTATGAAGTAGCTCATTTAACCTTGTTGTTCTCAACTGTAACCAAAAGGAATTTCTCCTAAAAGTCTTCATACAATTTTAAGCAAAAGGGGAATGAAAAGACAAAAAAATCTACCCCAAATGTTGATCAGGGGAAATTACTGTTAGATTTTGTTGAAATTTTATCAGGGCTTAAATATTTAGAAATGTATTGCAGACAACCCACGAAACAGACATTGGAAAGGTAAACTAAACAGGGGAACTCTACTTACGGCTAGGTTTAGTTCTAGCTGCTTGCTCTGGGGTAGGCACTTGTTTTGGTACTTCTAATAAGATAAAAAGTCAGTCAATCAAATTAATTTGTAATAATCTATTGCTACTATCAGTTAGGCTTCCAACAGTAACTTTCTACATTTTGAAGAAGGTTTTAAATAATAAAAATGACAAAGTATCCAATGCTATGCTCCACAATCCCTGCTTCATCACAAAAAAAGATGCATTTGATACCAAGTTGTTGTTTTGAGCAAGCTATCATATTTGTTAAAAAAAAAACCAACTAAGTCTTTGCTTCAGTGATAGTTGATTGATGGTGCACTTTTTCTTCTTCGTTGATATTGTCATACGGATGTTTTCCCAAGGACTTTTCTGCATTAAGGTGGTGTAAAAATTTCAACCTTTTTGTAAAAACAAGTCAACCACAATTTTCCATTGTCTTCACCTTATTGACCATAAAAATTATGTCTACAACTTTCAAAATTTTGCAGTGAAACCCCTTGGCCGGGCCTTGTGGTTTCATTTTAAACTTGAGCATTGTTGGTGTAGTTTTTATGACTAATAAGGCAACCTACGCATGCATTTTGATAAGTTCTTATCTATGAGCTATTGGAGGATAGATGCAAAGAAAAGGTCATCAGCAACAACATTTTGCATTTTTGCCAAGTAAAACAAATAGATTCTATGCTACCAAGGGTCTGTATAGTAATTTATCAGACGTCAAAATGTGGTAAGTACATCACTGGGACAATTGGCAATGCCTTGCATATTACATTTTTGTCCTTACCACTGACATTTTGGCATCTGATCTGTGATCTATTACTGAACAAATGCAAAGCGGAATCTACTTGTTAAACAAACGATGGCAAACTGTTTATGTGGTGAGAAAAATTTTGTTGAGAACATCAGTGACTCTTGCGGCCATGTCCTGTGTACCACTTTTTTGTTCTGATAACCACTGAAAGTTTGGCACATGATCTGTGATCTATTGCTATACAGATGCACAACAACATGGAAGCTATTTGTTTAATAAAGGATGGATAACTGTGTTCGATTTGCGAAAAAACAGTTTTTCTAAGCAAGAGATCTAAAAAGAAGCTGAACCGTGAAGCACACACGTGCCGATACAATTAACTCTCAATAAAAAAAATTCCTTTTTTACAAAGTTGTTGTTTTGGAATTAGAAAGGGGTTTTCTCATTTCAGTTTCACTTTTGAGCTTCTCTTGGTTATAATGGATCGGTCTAACAGAAACGCGTATGAACTGAAACTTTAAACACCTAGATGCAGAATAAAATAAGGTTATCATAAATGACTCCGTATTAATTTGGAGCATAAAACTCCCTCCGATTTTTCCGAATTAAAGTGAACGAATAAAAACTGCGTATCGCATCGGCAAGGCTTTAGTTTAGATGATGTACTTCAAGTGGGATAGCAGGAAATGGAGTTATGTTTGAAAAATAACATACAAGCGAAAAATTAAGCGAAGAAAGAGGCACAACGGTTATGTAAACTGGTAACATGGCTGATCTTGGACAACAGATATAGCTTGATACTCAATCGATTTTCTTTGATTTTAAACTACATCGAGACAGACTTAACACTATATCAACTACATATGATGCACGATCCTCGCAGTAGATAGCGCTATTTAAGCAATAGCGAAAATCAGACCTGAAAAAAATCAGGCCTGTACGGGATTCGAACCACTGACCTCTGCGATACTAGTGCAGCGCTCTACTTATTGAGCTAACAAGCCAACTGGGAGCAGGCCGTTAAGTTGATTCGTAATAAACCCGTGAAAGTGATAAATCAGATACAATGAAATATATGAAGTTCATATATTTTGTACTGCGGTGTTAGATACATATGATGCACGATCCTCGCAGTAGATAGCGCTATTTAAGCAATAGCGAAAATCAGACCTGAAAAAAATCAGGCCTGTACGGGATTCGAACCACTGACCTCTGCGATACTAGTGCAGCGCTCTACCAATTGAGCTAACAAGCCAACTGGGAGCAGGCCGTTAAGTTGATTCGTAATAAACCCGTGAAAGTGATAAATCAGATACAATGAAATATATGAAGTTCATATATTTTGAACTGCGGTATTAGATACGTATGATGCACGATCCTCGCAGTAGATAGCGCTATTTAAGCAATAGCGAAAATCAGACCTGAAAAAAATCAGGCCTGTACGGGATTCGAACCACTGACCTCTGCGATACTAGTGCAGCGCTCTACCAATTGAGCTAACAAGCCAACTGGGAGCAGGCCGTTAAGTTGATTCGTAATAAACCCGTGAAAGTGATAAATCAGATACAATGAAATATATGAAGTTCATATATTTTGAACTGCGGTATTAGATACGTATGATGCACGATCCTCGCAGTAGATAGCGCTATTTAAGCAATAGCGAAAATCAGACCTGAAAAAAATCAGGCCTGTACGGGATTCGAACCACTGACCTCTGCGATACTAGTGCAGCGCTCTACCAATTGAGCTAACAAGCCAACTGGGAGCAGGCCGTTAAGTTGATTCGTAATAAACCCGTGAAAGTGATAAATCAGATACAATGAAATATATGAAGTTCATATATTTTGAACTGCGGTATTAGATACGTATGATGCACGATCATTTCGTTTGGTTGTCACGTGACTGACCGAGCGTACGTACGTGCCTTCAGATTGCACGGGTAGGGTAGGGGAGACTATCGAAACGAAGGGAGGGGTGACTCAGGCGAGTCTTGGCAAATGCACATCTTTTATGTTATCATTAATATTACGAACTTGGGAGCTCCGCTTTTAGGCTTGGCTAAATCTATATATTATCAAATAAATACATGCATCAACTCCCAACAAAAAATTCAAGTAGTCAATGAAATTTATTTACATGCTTAGCTCAGGTTTACATGTAAAATATTTTCTATTGTATGTAGTAAAATTAGGATGGGATTTGATTTGTTTTTCTTTTCTTAAAAACTTCATAAAAATTATCCTCAATTACAGCTATTCATTTAAAATAGTCCTAATGAATCATTTAATTTGGTTTGACACAAATTGTGAATAAAATCTGTTGATTCTTTTTCATGAAATAATATAACTTGAGCTATGTTTATTGCAATAAATACTATGAGTCAAAAAATAGTCTTAAAATGAATCATCAGATGAATTATCAATCCCAGAGTCAGGCTTTGAGTTAATTTTATGTGGTTGTAACTTCTTCCGATAAAACTCTTGTGAGTTAAAATTCAAATGTAAACTGTCAAGCAGCATTTTCGTGCTATGCTGTCTGTTTTTGTTGATTCTGCAAATTGAAATTCAAAGATTTCAACTCAATTTTGATTTAACACCCTTGGGAGTGAAGGGCTTAATTGCAGTTATATCATTGATTTTTAATTAAAGTTATTGTTGTAACTGTATTAATAAAATGCAATGAAGTTATCCTAAGACTAAGCAGCTGTTTGTCTTTTTCTGCTGGGCTCGCAGTTTGTCAAACGTGACTAAAATAATCCTGAAACCTTTAGTTTACTGATAGATTTATTTCATTGTTAAGTGTAAGCTTAAGAAACTGTGGCATGCAAGTGATTGATTCGATTCTCAGTTTTGATCACATACCGAATATCACAATATCGTAGCTTTATAAATGGCCGCTCGACCCTTATACCGGCCAGTCGATATGTCAACTGTTGTCCCTTCTTTTAACTTCACGGCGCCAAGGACTTGCTTCTCATTTACAGCAATCACGCTGTTCTCGTTTTCCCGTTGAACAACGGTAAAACCCATCTTTAGAGATGTCATATTAATCAAAACAGTCGAGAAAAGAAATAACTTAACGCATGAGCGATCAATGGATAAAAAGCACATTCAAACATCAGTGTCAAAAAGAGTTTTCTTTGTTTCCGATTACAGGCATGATCACGTGGATATTTCGGGAATTCCCCACTCCAGAAACTATTGGGAATCTGGGCACGAACTTGACTCGTAGGGTCGTCTGGGATCGTTTGGGTGGACGCGCGAAACTTTAAAATGGCGGCAGTGAGGAAAGTTTTCTTCGCAAAACACTAAAGAAAAAATGGTAAAGCATGCTAATTGTTGTGTTCCTGGATGTACGAATAATTACAGAACCAAGGATGGGCTTTCGTATTACCGAATTCCAAAGGACAAAAAATTACTAAGACAGTACAAAATTCTAATTCGTAAGGCAACATTAAAAATCGACGCCGATAATACACGCATTTGTGGAGATCACTTTGAGGGTGGACAGAAGCGCAGCAGGCTTCATTTACCTTCGATCTTTCCATGGTCTAAGCATGTGGAAACCCACGTATTTTAAAGCGTGTTTCTTCCGAAAAAATTGTAAAGAAAGTCCATTCCGAAGACCCTTTGCCAGAAAGTGATCTCTGTCAGACGGAGGATGTGCTGCTCACAAGTGATGAAGGTATGCAAACGGAACAAGTACGCAGCAAAGATGAATCTTTGCAAACTGAATGTTATGAAGCGGTAAAAGTAAATTTTGCCACCCAAACGGGAGTGCTTAGATTTGACATCAATCAGTTCAAAGATAGGGACTCAGACATTGCTTTTTACACTGGATTTCCCAATCATAGAACACTAATGTTTTGCTTTGGTATGGTGAAGGATGCAGCGAAAAACATGAGCTATGGAAACTATGATCGAAAATGTTTTGGTTGCCCCCCAGTTTTGCAAGCAGGTCGACCAAGAATTCTTACAACCATTCAGGAGTTTGTTCTTGTGTTGATGCGACTAAGGCTTGGCCTGTTTGAGAGAGATTTGGCTCACAGATTTGAAATTTCAGAGTCAACTGTTTCTATAATATTTACTGAGGACATGGTTTCGATTTCTACGCCTTCAACTTCAGGAACTCATTATCATTCCACCACGAGATGTTCTTCAGGAACACATGCCTAAGCTTTTCAAAGAATTTTATCCCAAGACAGCACTGATTATTGACTGCACAGAAATACAGATGGAGCGTCCATCTGCATTGGATAATCAGTCCTCCTGTTACTCTTCCTACAAATCTAGAACAACCATGAAAAGCCTAGTGGAAATTATCCCAAGTGGTGTCATTGGATTTGCTAGTGAATTATACCCTGGTAGTGTTACTGACAAAGAAATCACAGTAAAGAGTGGTTTCTTGGCTTTTTTGGAGCAAGGTGATGAAATTATGGCTGATAAAGGTTTTCTTATTCAAGATGAACTTGCTGCAGTTGGTGCAACCCTCATAATACCTGCCTTTTTAAAAGGGAACAGCAGTTTTCGAAAGAGGAAGGAGAAAAAAAACAAGAAAGTAGCAAGTTTGAGAGTTCATGTCGAAAGATGTATGGAGCGAATTAAGAATTGGCATATTTTAGATAAACCTATTCCAGTTTCCCTTGCAGGGGTAGCTTCAGACATTTTTATTGTTATTGCAGCACTCACAAATTTCCATCCTCCACTTATTTCATTATTTCCGGTTTGTGACTGCCGTCCTCTTGACGTTCACGACGTGAAAACAAGGCGACTGAGGTTGTGAGGAAAACGTGAGTATTCTTATAATTTAGTCTTTATCTAAACTTTCTTGTCTTTCGGGTAGAACATAGAAACGTATCATTTCTTTAGTTATCAGCCTCTGAGTCTGGTGAAATATTATTTATAGACACGGAAACCAAGCAAGCTCGTTACATTGTACTGATTGTAAAAACAAAATGAAAACGTCCTCCTATTTTTTTCCGGATACTTCAACTGTTTGCTTCCGAAAAAATAAATAAAGTTGAACGATACTTTCCCAAAACTTATCAATTAGTCTTCTGCTGTTTGTTGTTTTCCTTGCCGAGCTATGCAACATTTAGACTGGACGGTTTTTTAAGTTTTTGAAGAGCGAAGTTTTTCTTTTTTTTTTTTTTAATCGCGTGTCGATTTACATCTTTACAGTCAGATCAAGCTAAGCGGCCTGTTCTCGCGTAACTTACGACAGGTTATGTAGTTTTTTGGACTGAAGTAACGGCCAATGGATTTTGTATCCAAGCATGTAAGAATTTTCCGTTTTCAGTTCAAACTTCTCATGACTTAGGACGAGGTTGACCTCGGTTTTAGGGCACCGACGATCTGACCAACTGGGTGTATCGAAACTTCAGACCTCAAAATTTCAGACCCCTTCGTCGGAGTGCAGGCATTAACTGTTTTCCGAACCCATTTAGGTGTCAGCAACTCATATCAAATTAAAAATATTCCTTTTCCCACTGTTCGTACTGTACCGCTGTTTGTTTCAAAATATTTTTCATGAGATGTTAAAATAATATTAAATTGTCATGCAACTAAGCATGACCATTTGTTTACTTTTTTTGTTGTATTATTTTCATTTTTTTATAAATAATTAAACAAATTATAGATTTATTTGTTTAATTATTTATCAATGTAGTTAATTAATCATTTATTCATTTTTCATAACCTAAAACAGATCAACATGGAGTGGAAACAGGAGTGTGACTTACTCCTGTTGCAAGAAATAGTTGTCTCAGAGCCTTTCAGGTTCAAAACGTCAACAAGAGAGAGAGGGAAAGTGTGGGAAGAGATTACCAAAAGGTTGAATGGAAACAAAGTCTTTCGGAATCGCCTCAGAAGTAAAAGGGCTGTTAGAGATAGATACCCACTGCTGGCTACGAAATACAAGTAAAAGATGACAGAAGAGGCAAAAGCAAGAGGAATATCACCTGAATTGACAGAAACAGATAAGCTATTGGAACAAATCATTGAAATGTTTGAAGAAATTCACAATGAGGGTGGAGAAAATTCACAACAGGTCAAGGTAAATAAGGAGAATGAAAGGAAAAAGGCAGAGGAAATGAGATATCGGTCAATGGAAAAGCTGGGAGAGACACTGGAAAGGAAGGCAACTGACAATGGTCAAGTTACCCCCAAGAGGAGAGGGTCAGGAACAGAAACCCTTGTTTACTTGAGGGACAAAGCTGAAAAGCAGTTTGAACTCAGAAAAGAAGAGGTGGAGGTGAAGAAGAAAGAATTATCTCAACAAATGCAGATGTTTCAAGCTATGCAACAGCAACTGCAGCAACAGCAACAGCAGCAACAACAAATGCAAGTACACATTCAGCAGCAGCAGCTGCAAATCAAATGCTGGTGGCACTAATTGAGAGAATTACTAAATAAATCATTTGTATACTTGGTAAAGAAAATTGAGCACATATTTTCATAAGTGTTATTCCAGTAACATATTTTGATGTTTTGTCTTTGAACTTTTGTCCTTCTAACTTTTATCTCTTTAGCCTTTATTTTTGGTACATAAAGGCCTCTTTTTATCCAAAAAGAGAAATGTGACTTTTGTGAATTTAAAGTATTTTATAGATATTATGTTTGGCGGACTTTTTAGACGTTTTATTATTAAAACATGCGCCAGCAGTGCAAATTTATAAAAACTATTCTAACTGTGTGAACAGAATTTTCAAGAATAAATGTTGTAGTCAAGTAATTTTATATAATCATGTATATAGTTTTATTTAATGATTCTTGCAGTCATATTGAAAGCTTGAAAATCACAGCTCAGTCCCTGTACTTAATTTCTAAGTTGGGAATATTTAAATATGAAGAATTTAGGCTACTAAATGCATTCATTTGATTAGGGTCCAAGATTATTTTCCCGCCCATTGGGCCTTCAATTAAGGTGGGTTTGAAAAATTATTTTAGCCCTTATTCAAAAGTTGTCACCCATAAGGTAGGGAAAGTGTGTCTGTGTGTGTGTGCTCCTTGATCTGTAATTGAAATCTTTAAACCACTCAGGTGGGGACACTCCCATGCATATATAACGTAGAGGTTTATATATTGTCTGTAAAGGAGGTAGGATGGTGAAGATATTCTTTGATTTCGATTCGCATGACCAGTCGCACATGTAATGGCGGAGCGTAAGCGTAGCAGAATGACTAGTTATGCGCATGCGTAGTGATCTCGTAGAATCTCTGCGGTGATGACTGATAGAATTGAAATATTTAAACCACTCAGGTGGGGGCACTCCCATGCCTATATAAGGTATGTAGGCTGTAAAAGGTGGGGTTTTTGAGCAGTTAAGTCTGGAATAGGGTACAGAATTCAGGAAATTTGGTCTAATATAGGGTATGATTAACAAACAAGAATATCACACAACCGTAAACTTTTCAAGGTGTTCACGGAAACAGTTATAAGCCGTGTATTTTTGTTCACGAAAGCCGATTGAAAATCCAAAGTAAACAAGTATGGCCAACTACTCATTAACCTCGCTTGCCCGACCTGGGATTGTCCTCGGTCGTTTTGTACGGAAGTCGCTCGGCTGCACTCGATCCACTATGATTGGCACGACCTCGGGTCAATAATGTTCCCCAATACAGCCCATATGCGTGGTTAGTAAGAAGTTAATATCGGTGGTGTACCTGAAGCGCAAAGCACAACGTTTGACGATTAACATTTGCATTACTATTGCATAGTGATACAATGGTAATTTTCAAAGGCTGCGATGATAAAATAGGTGAATATTCCGGGAACGAGCGAGAATGGAAATAGCCTGACGTGGTCTGCTTTTTTCCAGTTACTTTTTCACCTGCTGCGAAACGTTTCCTTCTGCCTGAAATTATTGCTTTTCACAGTTTTATTTTGTTTTGTTCCCGTGGGCGAAGCGAGTGCATTGGGACGAGAGTAAATCGCGAGTATTCCCGTCGTTGTGAACCCTTGTAAACACTATTTAGCTATAGAGGCGACGGAGCGTTTTGAAACATGGCAAGGAGGGGGGGAGGGGGCATCTTTCACTTAACCATGCGCATAAACCAAAATTTTCTAAAATGCCCTTTGCATTGTTTGTTGGCACAAGCGTGCGTATTTGCAATCTTTACAGTTTCGAGTGTGTCTATCATCGATCTGTGACTTATTTTCCTTTTTTCCTAAACAGAGGTCTTAAATCTTTCAGCGTAGCATTCGATTGGGTTCCCATAGACAAAATTAAATCCTGTCTAATTTCTTAGACGCGCTGTCTAATTTAGTGGAAAATTTCTGCAGTTGATAGCCTTCTCGAACACAGGGGTGTTACTAAAACTGGTCGTTACCAGTTTTAGTAACATCCCTGTCTAATTTCGCTGCAAGCGGCGACCTAGCGATGAAATCAGTGTTTGCAAACATCGTTTACTCCGCCATTTTGAATTCTCAGGTGGGTTACCGCTGTACACCCGTTCCCCGTTCCCTTTGAGAACGGCAAACGAGGAACGGGGACGGGGACGGGGACGGGGACGGG